TTAAAGGTAAAAGAAATAGAGCATGAAAACCTCAGCACCAAGGTCTCAGAGATGAGCTTGAGAGGGCCTAGTGACAGTAGTGACCGTAGTGATCGGTGCACTCGAGGAAGTGACCCCGAAGCTGGAGGAGTGGTTACAGTAGATCCCTGGAACAACCTTGGAAATCTCTGACCTTAAGAGATTATTTAGATTTTTTAATACATAGATACACGTTTATACACAGATAACAGACAACTATGACGTGAAAGTAAAATGATACATGATTCTGTAATCATTTTAAACACCAGATTAAATTGAGGCCTCCTGTGTGTAATCTGCAGCTGTTCTGTGAGGGCCTCATAACAATGGTTAGAATGTTCTGGTCACTGAGCTGAAGGAATTTGTACATGGGACAACTATTACTCGTACTCTAAACAAATCTGGCCTTTATGGACGAGTGGCAAGAAGTAAGCGATTATTGAAAGGAGGTCATAAGAAATCCAGTTTGAAGTTTGCCAGAAGTCATGAGGGTGCAGCTACCATGTAGAGAGCCAAATGAGCCAAAAATGTAACTTTTTGGCCCAAACGCAAAACATTTTGTATGGTACAAACCCAACACTGCTCACCGAACATCCCAGTCTCAAATATTGTTGGCAAAACTAAATCTTTATGTTTATGGTTGTAAACATTACAAAATGTTAGAGCTGTATTAATACTTTTGAGAGTCACTGTACCTATGCAGTCACTCAATTATTTATGTATGACTGGCAATAACAGATCAATAGTAGATGTCAAACTTGAAAACACTTCTCAAACTGTAGCCATACTACCATCTGCTGGTTTGATAGCTGAAGTGCAGGCTGCAGTCAAAAGCTTGCTTCCAGTAAAGAAAACATTACAGATGACAAAGGTCTATCCCACTCAAAAATACCTACACCTAGAAAATAAACAGGTTATTAGAAACCTGACCAGATATTACATGTTTGCAGTGTGCATTATCCATCCTTGAACAATTAAAGGATTTTTTCACATGATTCCACTTGAATGACAGAGTAGCTGCCTGAGTATCTGTTCATTGGAAAGCGAGGGGAGCTCTAGATTGCTGCTGTCAGCTTCTACAATGAACCATGGATGTATTTTTAAATGAACATGGTTTATGAAGGTTTACTCCTGGTAACATGTTTTAGATTTTTTGGATCTGTCTAATATCTGTATTGGCTACTATTGGGATCTATACATTAAAATGTATAGGTCACAGGAAGATGGCTTTGTTCTTTCAGCAGGGTCTTCAGGCAACGTGGGGTTACGTGTCTTGCCCAAGGACACAAGAGTAAGCATTTGTGGGAGCATTTGGAGTAGGTCTCATGGTGGGCTCGAACCCACGACCTTCAGGCCCAGAGGCCAATGCTCTACCCACTGAGCCTGTTGTTACTATTGTAATAAATAAATAAATATTGTATAAATAAATAAAAAACATTTATTTTACCACAAATGGATTCACACAACCACCAACAATGAGTAAATACTGTTTTTGCTTTATCCATTCCCGAATAAAACAAAAATCTAAATTTCTAGACTAGAGGGCCGTCTATACTGTATATTAATAAATGAAAGACATGAGAGTAGCTGTACCTGTTTATTGGATAGTGAGGGAGGTGTCAGGACCAAAGGCACAGCCATACTAACGTTTATAAAGAGTACAGGAACACATCCTTTCACGGAAAGGACTCACATATGAACACATCCTTACACAACGTAAGTTTCACACAAAGATACAAAAATTAGGATCTAGTAACAACATGAAGGTTTTTAAGGACTTGGGTTATGGCTGTGTACCTTTATACACTCTGTAAAGAAACTCAAAGAAACAGACATAACACAACTTATTTTCAACAATAATTACACAAGTTGTATGAAATATAAGCAGTTTAAATACATGACATTATCAAAAGCCGTTATAATTAAATATATACTTTTTATTTTGTTCGTTTACGCTTATGGGTTGAGTAAAAATGCAGCGCAACAAAGTTGTAAAAAAGAAAAATAGTTCAGAGACAATTAACAAAAAAATTAACTTATGTTGTATATTTATGGTTTTAAATGATGGCGGAAATTTAAGATTTGATATTGTTTTTACATGACATCAAGGAGTGCGTTCACAAAACACGAGTAAAAACCCAATCTGTTGTTTTGTTACGCCAGACAACTTTTTAGAAGGATGCTTTGTAAACACACTCAATGATAGACTTCAATAGAGCAAGATCCTTTGATTTTCCTTAATCTGCCAACCAGCCATTTTGTATAAACTTACAAAGGTTAATCATTCAAAACAGCTTAAAAAAGTCTTCAAATCTTGACCAAAATAATATAAAAATCTTTGAAATTTGTTCCAATTAATAGCAACATTTTAACATTCATAAATTAGACCAATATATTTCAGGCAGAGTAAAGAACCTATGAAATCTAATGGGAAAAAAACGGGTATTTCTTGTTCACATAATCTGTAGTGTAACTTCACATAATACTGCTTGAAAACATTGAACCTTAGAAACTCGCTGGAACAGGTCTAAACACAACATGTATACAAATTTGTTTAACATTTCCAGTCAGAAAAAACAGTAACCAAAGACTTAAAGCATTTTGAATGGACACTTGCACCAATGTTTTTTCTGCTAATAGTGGCCATCTGATTTTCCCTAAAAGATTATTGGTATTTCTAGTGCGTATGACAGGTTATTTGGATTTGGCTTTATTTTCTAGATTTAAATTTGGTTTGAAATTAAAAAACAATAGTCTTACAGCGATAAAGCCTAAAGTTGGTGAAGAATATGGGAAGTAGAGCAGAAGTATGGTGAAATTATTTCTGTATTCAAAATGTCTTGTGTTCCGCGGCCAGGGCTAAACCTAATTGTAAACAAAATGACAGTCTATCTACTTGATTTCATAATATACAATGCAGACCAAAAGTTTGGACACATTTACTCATTCAATGAGTTTCCTTTCTTTTCATGACTATTGACTGTAGATTCACACCCAGGCTGTGTAAGGGCTCTTTGACCAATAAGGAGAGTGGTGGGTGCTGGGCTAGATGACCTGGCCTTCACAGTCACCGGACCTGAACCCAATCCAGGTGGTTTTGGGGTGAGCTGGACCACAGAGTGAAGGCGAAAAGGACCAACAAGTGTTAAGCACCTCTGGAAAGTCCTTCAAGACTGTTGGAAGACCAGTTCATTTCAGTCTTGAAGCTCATCAAGAGAATGCCAAGAGTGTGTGAAGCAGTAATGAGAGCAAAAGGTGCTACTTTGAATATTTTCAGTTGTTGTTTCATACTTTTTTTTTTAATACGTACATAATTGCACATGAGTTAATTCATAATTTTGATGCCTTCAGTGTGAATCTACAATTTTCATATTCATGAAAATAAACTCTTTGAATGAGAAGGTGTGTCCAAACTTTTGGTCTGTACTGAATGTGAAAGTTTTAAATCAATTCACAAAAAGGGACAAATATTTGATTTGAATGAGTGAGGGGTTGGAGCCAAATAAGCGTCTGCTTCGTCCAGCCTCTTTTTCAAACATTTTATTTCTGTTTATTCTGTGTCTTGTTTTTATTTTATTTGCTTATTGTTTATATTGTATACTTTGCATAACTTTTGAAATAAATAAATTCTACTACTACTACTATTTCAAACTTTGCACACTTCAACGCAAGTTTAACATAATCCTTTTCAATTAAATGTGGTTGTTACTGGTCCAACTAATCAAAAACAAATAACTGGTATATTTTGGAGAAGAGTTATTAGTAGTATTGTTTGAAGTCTTCAAAGAGTAACAGAAAAATAAAAAGGCACATAGATGTTTGTGCAAGATCTGACGGCTTGGCCTTTGAGTTCCTCTTTGGCTTGTAGCTCATATGCACATGTCACTTCTCTCCAAATCCGGGCTTGTTTGATAAAATATAACATTTTTAAAGCATAAGAATATAATGTAAATATAAAATTAAAATCTGTAATAAATGGTTCCCTTTCGTTTCCTTTCGCAGGAGCAGCTCAGGTTAAAACACAAGTTAAATTACAGTTTGAAAAATCGCTTTAAAATTCAGTCAAGACTTTTGTAAATTTACTTTCGCAGCAAAAACAAGTCCTCAAATCTTCCCATTAAAATAATTTCCATCAATTTGACTGTGTAATCCATTCAGACCAGCGATCGTCCATTGAACCAATCCCATGCAAGGATAAATGCGGAAGTAACGTCTTTAAGGATGGCAAGTCACTGTACAAAGTTTAGAGGAATTTCAATCAAAAATCCTCCAACTTATTCCAGTCACATCCCTGAAAAACTGATCGGTTACAAGTCTTCAAAAAAAATTATTTTTTTTGCTTTATAAAGCTATGAACGTGGTATTGACCAAATTACACAAGATTAAACTGGGCAGCAAATTTTGTGTTCTCTTAAAGCTGAGATACCTAAATTCTAAACCACAACAATAATGTAATTAATTAACTAGTGATAGAGTCAAACTTTTAGAGCTTTCCCATTGTATTATATTTTTGGCTTTGTTCACAATATTGAACATTTACAGAACACTTTCTGTTACAAACAATTGAAATTTCCTCTATCAAACAAAAAAAGTTATGTATCCCAGCTTTAAAACATTAACAGTTATGGGGCGTTCAGACCGCCGACGCTTGAACGCAGCCTCCACTCGCTCCATTGCCGCGCAGTGTGTGTGTGCGTGTCACGACACACATGCAGTTCCACGCTTGAACGGTTGTCACCATTGACTTTGCATTGAAAGTCGCTGCAACGAAGGATCCGGTCTGAACGCCCCATTGGAAAATTCATCAAGATTTCCTTCTCAACTTCAGTTGTTCTTGTGAGGCCTGTTACGGCGGTCAACATCAAATCATCGAGAAATACATAATTGTTGCATATTGCTGCCATGATATTATATTAGAGTTTCCTGAGGGTCCAAAGCGCTTCACCCTGAGTCAATTTAATCTCATTTCGCGTATTTGGGGTTCACACCACAAACTCGGGGACGTCTTCGCTGGTCAGGTCTAATGAGAAATACTTGTTGGTTCTCTTAAAGCTGAAGGCCTGGTTGTGGATGTTGGCGCACTGGTCCAGGCCGTCGCTCAGCTCGCGCTCGCAGCCAAAAGTGTAGCTGTGTGCGGTGTCCTGGCACAGCTCAGTCCACTGCGCGCCGTCCTTCTGGTGCAGCCGGATATCGTCCAGAGACTGGCTGTGGCGGTCAGTAGAGGACGGGGGCTTCTTGCACACCGACTGCTGCATAAGAAAATCACAACTGGGTTAATGTACACCGATACAGTATTAAACGTGTGAGGGGAAAAAAATACTTACAGCTGGGGTACTTAAGTTTTTAATTCACTTGAAATGGAACAATGTAGTACGAATATATATACTGTATCTCCTACTAGTTCCTCTCTCTCAAAACACTTTGGTTGTATATGGTTGTATTTGGTTGTTGTTTTCACATGTATTTTTGGTCTCTGTCACATCTTTAGATCAGTTTTATCAGACTTCTCTGTCAACCTCACTCAGCCTATCAGCTCCCAGCCCAAAGCGTTGAATAAGTGACTCACATGGCACATTTCACATTTCTTACAAGTCTGCAAAACATAACATTTTTCTTTAGATAAAGACAGCAGTGGTCTGAATTGTTCTCAATTTTACTTTCTCAACATATATTATTTATAAAAAGAAAAAGTTACCCCAGCTTTAACACAATGTTATTCATTATTTTGTCTGGAAACAGTAACTTTTTTTCACTCTTTGTTGGTGGTTGTTCTATTGTCCTTTGTGCTGAGAAAAGTGAGATTGTAATTGACCTGCGGCAGCGACTCGATGCTCTGACCTCTCATCTTCACCACGGTCTCAGAGGAGCTGGTTGTAGACGAGCTGATGTCTTTCACAATCAGACCTGGACACACAAACACCCCAATACATTTAGATGACAGAAAAAGAAAAAGCAAGCAAAAAAATACGTTGTAAATCCAAACAACAATGTTTGTTCTTGATTTTTTGTTTTCATTGATTCCTGGATCTATAGCCTATTCGCTCGTGGACAAAACTTTTATTTGTCTGACAGGGACATTGCCCAATAAATGTATTATACAGACCGGACATAATTACTAGCTTGGGTTCATCTGGGTAGAGGAAAAGTAACAGCAGGTTTATTGTGTGCAAAGAATAAATAGATACAATGGCCCAAAAAAATATTTAAAATACAGGTAAAATGAAACACCTTAACCCCCTTTAAGAAACACAATACAATAGGGGTGTTCAAAAAATATAATTTTGCATAAATATCTATCTATAAGTTGTCTTTATTTATATGGTGGATTTCACAGACGAGGGTCACACAAAGCACTTACAAACTACAAAGTGTGAGACATGCATAAAAAAACTCCCCTGGCCCGGACTCGTGAGATGCACCCCCCTTCCCGCCTGGCAGAGTCCTCGTTCTACAGCCTGAGGCTGCGCAGTTTCCTCAAAACTCGTTGGAGCAGATCCCTAACCCCACATTTCTTGATGTGGGTCTCCCTGAGGTTCCTTGCTGATGAAGGAGGGTCTAAGGGCAGTGATGATTTGGTACAGATATGGAGATTGGGTCATACGCTCCTTATAGACCTTTGTGTTTTTTAATATAACAATATTGCTTGTGAGTCCAAAACTTTATAAAGTCCTCCGAGACGACTGCTGTTGTGATTTATGGCGATACAAAAACAAATGGAATTGAATTGAAAAGATCAACTTTCTGAAAACACCTACAAAAATGGAAGTTTTTGTAATGGTTTTGAGTCCGTTTGTGTAGTTATGGCAGTGGTGACCTGAGTATCCGTTGTAGTGCTCCGGGGACATTGTGAGCATGTCTTCGGTGATGTGGATGCACAGGTCCTGATCCAGAACCATCTCATGCAGCTCCTCGTAGTCTTTTGGGTCATCCACCAACATCTCGATTTCTGTAACAGACAGAACATAAGCAATAGCAAGAGAATACCGATTAAAGGAGTTCTGTCCACATCTTCTATGTGTTGATGTTCTTACCCTGTGTCTATGTGTATGTTTATGTGTTGAAAACAGTAAAAAAAAAAAAAAAAGAGCTATGCCATGTTGGAGAGCATGTTTACAAAGCACAAGTGAAAACCGGATAACTTGCAGTCAAAAATAATTTGAAATGGAAAAAGACGAATATAAACCCGACCGCTGATTGGGGTTTGAAAAACCAGGTTTGAACCATTTCTACACCTGTAATGCTGGCTTGTACTGCGGATCTCTTATGCTGCGTTCAGAGATCAGTTGCGTGGTGCCACGCGTTCGAGCATCAAAACGCACCGACCTCTCGGCATGCACGCACGGACTGTTCAGTAGAGACGCACAGACTTGGCAGGAAAGTCAAAGGGGAGGAGCAGGAGCGAAAAATGGGACGCCCATAGGAGATGGATTCTGCTCATCCTTTCCTTGGGAAGTTTGTGCGGAAACCAATCAGAGAGCAGCAAAGTGGTCACGGGGACATTAGCGGACTGAGCGAGCAGACTGAAAATACTCATAGCCAAAACAGGACCTATACCAGGCTTCACCAGAACTCAAACCAGGGTTGACAATGGTGGACTCTGTGCTTGTGAAAATATGCGTTGTCATGCTCCCGTGACCTTATGCAACTGCTTTGAGTGTGTTCGCTGATGCGGAAATACCGTTTAATAATACAAAAAACTTATGACGCACTTCCGTGAACAGATACTACTGTTGAATAAAGCCCGTGGAAGGTCTGTTCAAAGACACGCTGTAAAGCTGCATATTGGAGAAGATCTGTACAGAAGAAGCCGCTAACATAGCTCTGTTAGCATCAGAGCCGGCCGGCTACTTCCGGCACTTCCGGTGCTGGCCAGGACGTTCTGGTGTGAAGACCCCTGCGTCTGAAAACTAGAGAATGTGCGTCTGGTGAGCGGTGCTTCAGTGTTTGAGCGTTTGCGGTCTGAATGCACCATTTGAGCTCTGTCTATCAAATCAATGTCCTGTGCTCAATGGACGAATCATAAACATCCCAAACATTAGCAACATTAAAGATAAAAAAAAGTTTCGGGGACTCAGAATTCCATTCATTTGAATAGTAAGTAAGTAAGTAAGTAATTAATGAATAGGAGGTAGTTTGATTAGTTTCAGAATTCTGAGAGTGCTAGTATTAAAAGTTGTTATGTATTTCATGTGCATCTCTAACCGTCGTCCTCCAGCGCACGTTCCCTGCCGCTGCTCTCGATGCCGGAGGTGTTGGACGTGTGGGAGCTGCCATGGGAGGTGGTGGAAGAGCTGGTTCTCTGGGGCCTGTGAGCTCCATGTCCTGGGGCCCTGAAGCTATCGGCCTCAATGCCCGAGGTGTGGGAGCTGCCGTGGGAGCTGCCATGGGACGTGGTGGAGTGACGTGACAGACGTTTGGAGCGTGTAACACTGCCCGCACTGCTGCCACTGGCCCTAGAGCGTTTGTCCAGGTGATCCATGTCCAGATCCAGAGCATCACTGATGTATGACTCTCTGTACTGCTTTTTCTCTGAGGAAGAGGAGGGAGGAGTGAGATCAAGCGCGGCACAACTCATCTGAACAGTAAATGACACCAACTGGAATTAGACAATGATTCATCTCACAGTGCATTAAAGCTGGGGTATCTGACTTTTTTTTAACCTTGAATAATATATAAAGCTTGTCCAAAAGAAAGTCTACAAAATAGTGTGAACTAATCAGACCACAACTTTGTCTCAAACAATCTCTTGAATATACAGTACAGAACAAAAGTTTGGACACACTTTCTCATTCAATGAGTTTCCTTGACTATTGACTGTAGATTCACACCCAGGCTGTGTAAGGGCTCCACAGTCACCGGACCTGAACCCAATCAGGATGGTTTGGGGTGAGCTGGACCACAGAGTGAAGGTGAAAGGGCCAAGTGCTAAGCATCTCTGGGAACTCCTTCAAGACTGTTGGAAGACCATTTCAGGTCTTGAAGCTCATCAAGAGAATGCTAAGAGTGTGCGAAGCAGTAATCAGAGCAAATGGTGGCTACTTTGAAAAACCTAGAATATAAGACATATTTTCAGTTGTTAGGCCCGAGCCCCGAACGGGGTAAGGGCCTATTGCTTTCACAATGGTGAAAACAAATGGTGGCGGTGCGTGACGGACGCGTCAGCGCCCGTCACTCACCAAAACGTGACGGTTGCGTGCGTAAACTCAAACGCTTTAAAATGATGTATCACATGCCATTGAAACCTATATTGTTTTTGCTCGAGACGTTAAAAAAAAAAATCCTTTTTTATTTATTTCTTTCTTTTTTCTTCTGCACTTTGAGCCTTAATTTGACCCCCTGAACATGCATGAAAAGTTGTTAATTTTGGCCCAAAAATCAGACCTGGCGAAAAATTTGATATTTTGGTGTTTATTTTTATGGGACTCAAAAAATGACAGAACAGCGCCACCTACAACAGCCAAAATAATACCCCTATGGGACTTTTCGGAGGTCAAGTTTGTCGTAGAAATATGAGATTTGGTACACATGTTCCTCAAGTCAAGACAAGAAAAAAATGTTATTATGGCCCCGCCCTCTGACAAACAGGAAGCCCATAAATTTCACTGCAAAATGGAAAAATGAACAGCAAAAGTTTTCATACATGTCGGTTGGAAAGCGACTCCTCCTCGGCCGTTTCACCGATTCGCCTCAAAATCGCTCCACATCATCTCAACACATGTACCTTCAAAATGACTTCAGGGAATTTTGATCCGTGAAACGTTGTTTGAGCAGCGGAGCAGCAAAATGTGAGGTTTTTTTTGGCTCTTTTTGACAACATTAATTTTGCTCCTGTTTGCACAAACAAAGTCTGATTTGCACAAAACTTTAATCCATTGTTCAATTCCAGGGTTTAGGTCAGGTTAAAGTGAAATATTGGAAATTGGCCCATTAGCGCCCCCTACAGACTGTGTCAAAGTTTACATGGGGAGCCAAACCAGCTCTACTTATCATATTCATTACAATTTGACTAACATTCTTCTATGGCTACGGAAACAAATCATCACACGGCGGTGCCACCTCCTTTTAGCGGTTCTGCGTGGTACGGTGTGGTGCGGCGTAGTGCGGGGCGTTGTGGAGCGGCGCGTTGAGGCTTGGTGCGGGGCGGCGTGGTGCGGGGCGGCATGGTGCGGGGAGTGCGCGCGGTGCAGGGAGTCGCGTGGTGCGGCGAGGGCCGTTCGACGCCGCTTGCGGCTTTAATTTCATACTTCTTTTTAGTACCTACATAATTCCACATGAGTCAATTCATAGTTTTGATGCCTTCAGTGTGAATCTACAATTTTCATTACAATTTCAATAAAAAACTCTTTGAATGAGAAGGTGTGTTCAAACTTTTGGTCTGTACTGTACTTCTGAGTCACTGGTTTACCCTAGCTTTAATAACCTAGCTTTAATGATCATGTTTCGGCCATAATTTTTGTTTTAATTATGGCAAAAGCGTTACCTTCGTTCTCCTCCAGCCTCCGTACTTGCTTCATGACCGGCTGCAGGTTCATGTACAGTCTGTGGCTGTTGCTGAGGAGCTGCAGGAGGTGGCGTGACCGAGCGGGACAGCCAGTGTAATACATCAGCTTTCGCGCCGATGGCAAACCGTCCGGCAAGATCTCAAACTTCTTACCCTGAGAGAAGGAAAAACACGGCAACAGTCATCTCACAATGATCTACGCTTGAGGTAATTGGACTGAATTAAAAACGCAGGAATGTTGAGCTGGGATGGAGAAACACCCAAAGGCAAAAAAGAGATGTCGTGACAAGAGTTGAGGAAACATTAGAGATCTATTTTTTAGTATATATGAACAGAGAACATGGCATACTAGGCAAAAGCTCATGCAACATTAGAAAAATATGAACACAAATGACAATGTGCAATTTGGAAGGACTTTAGACAATAAAAAGCCAACACAAACAATACAAAAAACGACAAAAAGGGGTAATGAGTGCTAAAAGCTTTTCAGACAGAAGAGAAAAAGAGAGGACCATTCTCACTCCACCAATCAGCTCTCAGACCAAAGCACCAAGTAGTTCTTACAACTATGCAAAAGATAAACAAAAAATCTAATAAAATATGGAGACAGCGTGTTGTGGTCCGATATGTTCTAGATCACAACAACACAACATTCTGTATTTTTTTTATGAAAATATTTACATTCTATGTTCTCATCATTTGGCAAATCTTTATCCGTATTGTCAAAAGCAATAGGCCTACTGATTTTCTTTATGTACTAATAGCAAAAGGTACGTTTAAAAAATATTTAAAATGTGTTAGAACTACAGTTGTAAACGAGCACTATAGCTAAACCTAGCTCTTTTACAGTAATGTTATTTAATGTTCCAGTTCAAATAAATATATAAAATGGACAGAACTGAGGTTTGTTGACCATTTCAAAATTGAGCAGATTGCAACTCCTTCACTTCTACCTCTAGTTTTGTGTTTTCAAGTCATCTCTAGCCATATACTGTACCGTATATGACAAATTATTTCACATTCTAAAACACAAGGAAATATCCTTGAGATATTTTTAAGAGACAAAATGTACACAAATTATGCATAATATCTGCTCTTTAAGTTTACATTATCCAACTGTGCAACTTCATATTTCCTGGTACAACCATTAATAAAAATATGCGCAATTCTCTCCTCATCTCTTGTGTTATTGTAGCGGTTACATAAGACGTAATTAATTGGCTCCTGTGGCCAAAGAGACCACAGTGGCACACAACTTTTAAAACAAGTCCAGAACACCACTTAGACAGGGATACGGTATCACTCAGAACATATGTCTGTCTCTTTCGGAAAAACTTTAGAATAAATCCTCCCGAAATTGGCTACACACAAAGACCAAAGACAAACATTATGGCAGATACATTTTTCAACAAGAAATTCAAAGCCTAAGATAAGATAAGATAAGAGATTATTGATCTCACACAGGAGAAATTTACATGTCACATTTGACACGTGTGCAAACGTGTTAAAGGCAAAAAATATACGTTGTCTGTTCAGGATATATTATGTACAATAAAAGAAAAGGTGGCTATAGTAGTGCAGGTTTTTAGTCCTAATGCAAGTGACTTAAAGTGACTTATTGTACAGTCTGACGGCAGTGGGGATAAAGGCCTTGCGGTAGCGCTCCTTCTTGCACTGAGGGTGTCTCAGTCTTCCACTGAAGGAGCTCCTCAGCTCCGCTACAGTCCTGTGCAGTGGGTTGGAGGTATTGTTCATGATGGAGGTGGCTTTGGCTAGCACCCTCCTGTCCCTCACCTCCTCCACAGAGTCCAGGGAGCAGCCCAGAGTGGAGCTGGCCCTCCTGACCAGCTTGTTGAGTCTACTCCTGTCCCGCTCTGTGCTGCCCGGGGCCCAGCACATGGCAGCGTAGTGTATGGCAGACCCTACCGCAGAGTCATAAAAAGTCCTCCGAAGGACCGCAACCTCCTCAGAAGGTGGAGGCGGCTTTGGCCCTTCTTGTGCAGGGCGTTTGTATTATGGGACCAGTCCAGTTTATTGTTTATGTGAACACCCAGGTACTTGAAGCTGTCCACCAGCTCAATGTCCTCCCCCTGGATGTTCAGCAGCGTGTGGGAAAGTGGTTTTCTCCTGAAGTCGATGATCATCTCCTTGGTCTTACTGGTGTTCAAGCACAAGTGGTTGCGCTCACACCAGTTGACAAAGTCAGTGATAACCGACCGATATTCCAGTTCGTTCCCCTCAGACACACAGCCCACGATGGCGGAGTCGTCGGAGAACTTCTGCAGGTGGCAGCTGTGTGTGTCGTGTGTGAAGTCTGAAGTGTAGATGGTGAAGAGAAACGGTGAGAGGACAGTGCCCTGAGGGGCCCCAGTGCTGCAGACTACCACCTCAGACGCACAGCTGCGCAGCCACACGTACTGTGGTCTGCATGGACCATCAACTACCTCTCTGACAGCGAGGTTACTGTTCACTCCCGTGTCCTCCATCTTCCCCCGCACCCTGATAGTGTTGAAAGCGCTGGAGAAGTAAAAAAACATTACCCTCACAACGCTTCTGGCAGGTTCCAGGTGGGAGAGCGTCCGTTGCAGAAAATAGATAACAGCGTCCTCTACTCCAATATTGGGCCTGTAGGTGAACTGCAGCGGGTCCAGGGTGGGGCTGACCACGGAGCGGAGATGGGTGAGGATGAGCCGCTCCATGGTCTTCATCAGGTGGGAGGTCAGTGCGACTGGTCTGTAGTGAGTCGGTTCACACAGGAGGTCTTCAACAGAACAGGGACCTTCTCCAGGCTGAGGCTCAGGCTGTAGATATGGTTGAGGACCTCAGAGATCAGGTCTGCACAGGTCCTCAGCAGCCTGGGACTGATCCCGTCCGGTCCTGTCGATTTCCTCTGCTTCAGTGGAAAGGGGGGGGGGGGGGGGGGGGGGGGGGGGGGGGGGGGGACCGGGGTGCACTGTCAGAGGTGGGGGCTGAGGATGTGGGGACAGCCGAAGGCAGTGTCCACTGGGCTGGAGACGTGTAAAGAGGTGGGGGCGGGAAGGGGGGCAGATGGAGAGGGGGGAGAATCGAACCGGTTGAAATATTGGTTAAATTAATCTGCCTGGTGCTGGTCTCCATCCGCTGTTCCTCTGGCACTCTGTCCAAATCCGGAGATGTTCTTTAGGCCTCTCCACACGTCACGCGCGTTTCCCTGGGCCAGCTTCTGCTCCAGCTTTTTCCCATCCTCAACTCAATGTAAGGCTTTCATAGAGATCCATACAGATCTAAACCTCAAAAAATAACAGGGCAAAATGTAGTTTTAAAGGAGAATATGGGATGATATTTTATGATATATTTTATGAACATTTTGAATATGGGAGATTGATAGCAACATGAATGCGGATGAATCAGTATAAATTTAAGTGTCAAATAAGTGTATATTGTCAGAATGTTTGTCAATTTTGTCAAAAAAAAATAACCCTTTTTTATAGACACGTGAAATACCATTTGGAAAGATGAAAAAAAAACAGGCCCCTTGAAATAAAGAAAAAAGTGTTTAACATGAACATTAATAAATCAAAATAAAACTATGGTACTTAATCAGTGTTTGCAGTGGTAAAATACAACATAGTTAAAACTGGGATACCCAAGTTTCAAACCACAACACATTGAACTATGTAACAACATCCATCTAGCTAGTTTGGTTGGTTCTATCGCTTGTTTCCACATGCATGGATTACTAGCTTCTTGCCACATCTTTAGACCAGCATTTTCAAACAGAAAAGTGAAAAGGAGAGGACCATCGTCAATTAGCCGATCAGTTTTTGGCCCAAAGAGTTAAAAAGCGACTTGCATGGCTCTTTCTTACAAGTATGCAAAGAATTGTTGTGGTCAGATGTGTTCAGAACATTTTATTTTGATAGGACTTTCTGCTGGGACAAGCAACAAAAGGGATAAAAGTTAGGTACCTCAGCTTTAAAAGTATTTTCCACCATACGTCTCTAACAAGTATCTCAAGGTCTGGTTCACAGTGAGAGAAGAATGAATTTACTGCTCAACCTATGCTCCCAACCCTCACCTAAAAATCACTGAAAGGACTAGATTGACTTAAACCAATTTCAATTCAAAATACTAATACAATAGAAATACTTGAATTCAGAATTCACTAAGAGTTGACAGAAAATGTAGTATATGTGGATTTTGAGTTTGAAGTTTGTCAAAAATTGTTTGACTCAAAGCATAAGGAACATGTTCTGTCCGTTGTTTCAAGACACGTTTATTCCGTCCGGGCCAAATTCCACTCCAAACATCTGGTGTTTATAGACCCTCCCTGACGTGCTCTGTCTTCACTACAAAAACACAACATCTGCATTCAAAATGTACCCAAAAATGATTGAACTTTCTGAACATAATCTGTGTTTAAGCTGTTTTGCTTTGTGTTTGCACAAGTCCAGTTCAAACTTGTCAAGTTTAAGTGAAGAAATAGCTTGCATTCTAGAGGTTTGACTAGCTTCTGGTTTTGTGCAACATTTCGAGGACTTTACCAATCCAAAAGATAACACTTTTTTGTAAAAAAATAGAAGTTAAAGCTGCACTAACTGACTTTATTTTTGTATTCATTACGAAAATGCTATCCATGTCCATGTAGTGCATTGGGATATACATCATTTTGAAGAAAAAGTAGCGCAGATTTGTGCTGGCGTGACATTATATTTTAGATCGAGTTTTGATGAAACAAGGAAGAGAATGTGTTTTGGGTCGAAAAGCCCCCACTTTCGTGAGAAATCTACAGGTTCGTTAGCACAGACAGCTGAGTTAGCACAACAAGCCGAGGAGCTAACCTGAAGCTTCGTGTGTCTTCGTCACCGGTTACTGCTTACACAGCGAAACAGCCATCCAAAAGAAAGTCTCGTTCCTCCGCGCTTCCCGGTTCTATCGTTCTATGGTCACGCCATCCACGTGCAAATCCATATCCATGTATTATCCATATCGGGAGACACTAGCTCCGTCCCAACAGTGGGTGTGTGTGGGGGCGATAGCTTCGTGGGTGCGGGGAGGGGAGCAGAAAGAGAGAGGCCAGCGAGTCCGCGGCTTCAAAATCCCAAAGTCAGTTAGTGCAGCTTTAAAAGGGACTGATTGGAATTTCCACAGTGGAATTTCCCCACTGTGAGACAA